CGCTTGATCACCCTGGCCTCGGCGATGTTCAAGAACACCCGGAAGCCAGCACCGGAATTTGAATCAATCACAAAAAAGATAACATGATCAACATAAAAACTTTAAAACAAATGATGACAAACTTCGCCAAGTACGTGACAACATGAGGTTTTAAGATTAGAAATCCTTGATAATCTGACCCTTGTGGTTTTGGAGCCTCGCAAAAGGTTCAGGACAGAGACACAAAGACACACGCTTGGAATAACCTGCAGGTTATCCGAAACTAATGAAACAACAGGTTAGCAGGTTGTTCTCATCTCTTTCATCACTTCTCACTTCTTCGACTACATCTCAGAGTTGGGGTTCTTGGCTTAGCCCCTTGCCACACAAATTGTCGCAGGTACGTCTGGCTGATCAGGCCGGATATCACCATACACTGACAGTGTCTTCGTTGGGCAGTAACTGTCAGGCATGCACTGCCCCCCTGCTTTTTGTTATGCAGTTGTGGGTCCCGTAGTTTCAGGGTGGTAAACACACACACTTTTCTGAAGCTGCTTCATTTTTGAAGCCACGGGTCATGGCATACAGTAGCCCGCACATGTGGTGTGCATGAACCAGGTTAACGACTCGAATCGAAAATGTCAATGCATGAGGCTGCAGGTAACAATAACAAGGAAAGGCTCGCCGCAGTGTACTGCTGAGCCCCACTTGCTTTGCTAGCCTTTGAATGGAATATTGAACCGGGCTGCTTCATGGAGAATAGAGCTTCTCATTCTTTCGAGAAATACCAAACCTTCCTCTGAGGCTCTAGCCAGGAAAGGATAATGCATGCAGAAGTCCGGCTTGTGCATCACTTCGACACCTAATGTGCAGCATCAGCCTGGTCTTGCGACTAGGCAGTCTGCAGGAACCAGGCTGGGACGGCGATGCACGGCTGGGCTGTGCATGACTTTTTGAATGATGATCGTAGTCATAGCACCCGGATTTAGATAGATTGGGCGACACCCAGTATCGCACCCTCTCAGTCGAATGGCAGGGATGGGCATTGGGCCATGATTTGCCGTGTGCTTCCAGTGACATACGCTATCTCGCATCAATGGCAGGTGCAGCCTATGGATGCCTGCAGGGGGAACTGCGTTCACAGCTGTGTGGTGTCCCGTGGTGTTCTAGCTAAAAATGCGGTGGAAACCGTGTAAGGCCACAGCCCATGCCCAGCTGGCCGTAGTCGTTGCGGCCCCAGACCTGAAGGAGGTGCAGGGCTCACAGAAAGTTGATGCAGGCATCTGGCTGAAATTCCGTGCACCAAGCCATATCAACATCATTGTCCTCTCATGCAGCTGAACGCGTGAATCCATGTCAGAGCAAGGCAAATCAGTAGCAAAACAGTGTCGAGTCTCAGGGCACCACCCAGATTTCTCCGTGTGCAGACATTGCAGCGGAGAACTCCCTTCCTGCATCTACCTCCGCAAGCTGCAAACGCCAACATGCACCGTACTGCCTTTACCTACCATACTTGGTTGCAGAGTCGTCTTGCCCTGGCCATATTCTATTGATCAACCACATCCGGGAAACATCAGAGCGTAATTGCTTCAACCTGCCCAAAGGAACTTTTTCGTCGCGATGATTGTCGCATCATTTCACGAACCTTCATCTCGACCGGTAATTCGTCTAATGTTGTGATTTCACTCGAAATGGTGCCTGCCTTGACAATCACAGGCTCCTGGCTCACATGAGCTGTGCTGACTGCGAGTCACAAGCTCTGCCAGCTTGCCCCTTCGAAGGGCACACTGCACACTCAGAACCTGGCTTCGAAGGTAACTACAGAGGCTTCAACATCTTCCACATGGTGCGAATCACTGACTTCAGCACAAGAAGCACGAACAAGATGCTCCTCACCCGGATTGAGAATGGAGTCGGTGGTCTTCCTGAAGTACTCAACCTTGTAACAGCCATGACTGAAGTGACATCAGAAGCATCAAACATCCTGAACTGGACCTGTCGCAATGCACCAACGTGACTGCGCCTGACTGGACCCAGAAGCGCAGGCCTCATGGAAATCCAGCTCGTCACTCCAGGCAGCGATCCCGCCGCGACCTGTCGTTCGGCTGTGCGAGGTAGCCCTGCGAAAGCGGTTCAGCTGACAGGCTGGGTCTGACACCCAGCCGGCCGAAGCTGCCCTTGCCCGTGGAGTGGACTCGGCCCTGCATTTGCATCGAGGCTCAACGGTGGCTTGGGCCTCTCTTGCTCTGCTTGACTCTTGCTCATTAACACGGGCTTCTGACTCTGGCTGGGTTGTGTTCATCGAGTTTTGCTGTTGTGGCCTTCCTTGCCATTGCGATCTATTGCCACGTTCGGGCCGTCTGCGTGCTGTCCGGACGTCATACTACGAACTGCATGTTGAGAGCCATGCGATCATCTGTTCCATTTGCAAACGCCTCTCTGTCCAACACCAGCGTGTGGATGTCGCCGCAGGCCACCTTTTACAGCTGTCTGCACAAGCAAAGATGCAAGCAGTCTGCAAAGCTTTAGTTTCACGTCCTCGGTCAGTGGCCACACGTGCTCAAGTTTCCACGCGAGGGTGCCTTTTTCATCGCACCACGTGTCCAAGACAGCGAAACCACTACATCCGAGAAGGTGATGGCCAGGAGCCTGCACCGGGAGGAAAAATGCTACGCAGTCGCTCAGAGTCGGCTGAAGCAAAGCACAGCCAAGCACCTGCCAGGAAAAAGGGACAGGATCGACTGAGTCTGAGGCTGGACTCAAACTAGAATCACGTTTGCAAATGGCCAGAAAGTTCGGGGAACTGGAATCGATTCGAGTCGATGGCCCTGCCTCCGTTTAGGACTTCACCACCACCACCAGTACGAACTGACCATCGTCTTCTGGAAGGTGGGAAGGGCGTTTACCGTGTTCCACCAGGAGTGAAGTTTGGTGAGGTCCTTGCAGCATTCGGGAGAAGTGAGCCCACAGGCCGTTGCGATACCTGTTCCATGTAAAGGTTGTAGGCACTGGGCTGCTGCAAAGCATGATGCTCATGCTAGACTCATGCTGGTGCTTGCAATCCCGGAGTAGCTCTTCAGTCTTGGCCTTGATTTAGCATGATTTCGTCAGATGCGCGAAAGTCCTTCGGAACCATCCCATCTTCAAAAAGCCGCTGAAGCCTGGGCGGGGCGCTGCCACTGCAGTCGTCAACAGCCAGGCAGGCCGTCGAATAGCAGCAAGGCAATACTGGCATCGCAGCAGTGGTGTCGGTGGTGATGCCGGCCGTGGTGGTGGTGGTGGGGGCGGTGGTGGTCGTAATAGTGGTCGCACTCGTCGTGGTGGTAGTAGTAGTAGTAGTAGTAGTACTAGTAGTAGTAGTAGTAGTAGTAGTAGGAGGAGGAGTAGTAGTAGTAGTAGCAGCAGCAGCAGCAGGAGGCATTAGTTTGTGTTCTGGGCGGCTGTGGCAAACGTTATTGTTTTCGTCACAGATTAGCACGCAAAGGGACAGGATTGGAAGACTGTCAGCAGCAACAACACCATGGTGCGAGTCAGAAGAACCCCCAAATTCCAAGACACCTGGTGACGGCGACTGATGACCACGAAGCAAAGATAGAAAGACGAGACGTCCATCGCTACATGCTACCGGATAAATTAGAAACTCAGTAGCACCGGCACCAGCAATCGGACATCAGCTGGCACCAATAGAAACACAAATGACTATGCTCAGAAAATGCGACAGCAGCAACTTGCATCGACAAGATGCAAATCTCTCGGCCAGAAAGAAAGGCACCATCTCATCATGGGGACAGCCATAGCAAAAGCAAGGGTGTAACGTCAGTCATCGACACATCTCTGGTCGCCGCAGAACACACTGCAACTGAATTTGGCATTTCCGTAGTCGGGGGCCTATTGCTTGCGAAACACTGTGGGTTTCCGGAGCACTGCCAGAGCGATTCAAGGCCTTATTGCTCGTGTACAGTACTGTTATCATCAACCCTCCTGGTTTTTCTCTCAAGCTTCTACAGCCACGGTGGACTGTCGTCATGTCTCCGGCAAAGGCACATGGGTGCTGCAGATATGTCGGCCACCGTGACCTCGTCACCTGCCATGAAAGGGCCGGCCTGAGTGGTGCGCTCGGACTACTTCTGTGTGCCTCCCATGCCTCCCAGTCCCGGCAGTCTGCTGGGTCAGAAACAAAAAAATAATTGCAAGAAACGAAGCGTCTGGTGAAGCATTCTGAGACGAGGGCAACCAGTTTATCCAAAGCTTGAAGAACCTGCAGATTCAAGGACGCCAACATGTCGATTGCTGTCAACATCGTCAACTTACTGCTTCAACAGCTACATGGCGGTGAGTGCGGTGTGCTAAGACGCGAAGCAGTTGTTACTGAAGCGAAGCGGCTACATGTGTGCTGGGGGATAGCTTGCCGCAGCTCCGAAGGAATTCCCATCCGCCAAGTTGAAAGTACTGGTCGGCGGTTTTTTCTCTCAAGGCTCCGACAGTCTCGAACCAGTGAGCTGAGCATCTTTGGGAAATCTCTCGGCTTTGGGCGCGGCTTATTTTTTTCCCACCCGCCCAGCTGACGAAGTCGCACCGCAGGGAGCTCGTGGCTTATTGACGAACGGGGGTGGGACCACTATATACGAACCTCTATCGACCTGGCAGCCCTATCCACTATATAATATATAGCGTCCATGGCCCTGAGGCGACGACTTCAGCTACATGATCCCGAAGCTGAAACAGAATCATCGTGCGACGTTGATGCTGGAGGCTGATAGCTTTCATAGCTTGCAACCTGACAATCTAGATGTCCGCTTCGGTGTCTTCGGCGCAACATGCAGCCAAAGATCTGGACCCAAGTCTGCTTGCTGCCCGAACATTTTCGCCTCAGCATCACACGCAAAACTGCTGGAATGCTGGCCAACGCATGCTGCCATAACGGAGCATAGGTTCGATGTTGCAGGTTTGTGTTAGTATCTTTTCACGGACCGCGACACCTGTTTGCCAGCAGGCAGAAGGTGTTGATTGATCAGCCGTCGGATTTCCACTGCATCCTCAGCAAAGGTGAGGACGCTCCAAAGAAGTGGCTCGGAGAAAGTTGCACACAGCCATAATTTCATGGTAGGAGAGAGAGAGGCTGACCGAATTAAATCACTCACTCATCTGCAACGCGAACCGGAAAAGCAACATGACTATGCGAGAAGTGAGCCGGTGCAGCTTCCTCCCTTCATGCAGATGAGTTGCCGGGCTGGCTGGTGCGCCTCAAACACTTCTGTCAATCAGCATGTTTGAAAGGAACTCAAGGCATGGATAAGTATTGATGGCCGAGATGTGTGATTGAACTCTGAGGCTGGAGCTGATGGCTTCTGAAGACTTTTGGGCAATCGCCTTTGGAACGGATGAATTTGGGCCAGGGGCTGAATGGAGAATCCCTGGTGCAGCCGAAGAGTTGACGATTGAAGCATAAAGGAACGACTCCGATTCTAAGATACCTAGACGTAGACGTAGTCACTAGTCTTGACGCGGGATATGTTTTTGCATGGCCGCGATTAATTACGCCTTTCTCTGACGGGCCGACAGCCAACAAAAGCCATGTTGCATCGACGATATCTTCTGACTCCACCTTGTCACTGCATATACATTTTCGGGTCTAAATCAAGAGACACAAGCAACCGCAGCTGCACACTCTGACGGCTCACGCTCGCAGATCGCAAAGCAACCGAGCTGCGGTCACTTTGCCCGATGGGTCTACCAGGACCGGCACAAGGCCTTTGGGGTTCAAGTCGTACACGAGTCTCGCCCCTGCCATGCGATCATGTGGCACTGGGAAAATCAAGAGAACAACTTGTAGAACATACCCTGCAACCTACCCCCGACTGGCTTGTCCCAATCCCTTTCGGAATTTGCTTTCAAAAGCAATCTGGTACACAACAAATGAGGTTCTTACAATGGAAGTGGTCAGTTAGTGTGCGTGAGTGCCCATATTGGGCTCATGCGCCAACAGATTGTAGTGTCCTGGTGGTGTCTTGGGGTCTTGTGGTGGTCTCCTCGAAGTCTCCTAAGGTGGTCGTCCTGGTCGTAGTGGTTGGGTCCCCTGGCCTTCTCGTGGATCCGGGGGATTGCGCAGGGTGTGCACGGGGTGTGTTTGGCAGGCTCCGTGGGGTTTCTCGTGGTATCTCTACCTTTGCTGCGTGATCCATCACTTTCTGGGATCAATGCTGGAAAAACTTTCTGAATCTCCGGATGATTCTGGAAACCATGCTAAGTACCCTAGGCCCTAGGAGCGAGCAGTATGCCGAGTAGTCGTCGTCGTCGCCAAGGCAATAGCAGAAACTGTCCAGTAGTAGCAGTAGCAGTAGCAGTAGCAGTAGTAGTAGTAGTAGTAGCAGTAGTAGTAGCAGTACTAGTAGTAGTAGCAGTAGAAGGAGAAGCACAACCAGCAGCAGCCGCAGCAGCAGCGGCAGGTGATGGTGGCAGTGGCAGTGGCAGCAGGTAGTGTAGTGGAAGTGGCAGAGGTGGTGGTAGTAGCCGTAGCAGCAGCAGCAGCAGCAGCAGCAGCAGCAGCAGCAGCTATTGTATTAGTCGTAGTGACGTGGTAGTGGCAGTGGTGGTAGTGGTAGTAGCAGTGGTAGGAAGGAGTAGGTGTAGGAGATAGTAGGAGTAGGTGTAGGCATAGGAGTAGTTGTCGGAGAGGGTTACTGGTGGCAGTCGCAGTCGCAGTCGGAGTCGT